ATTCTGCTATTTTATTTTACCTTTTCCTTATTTTTCCGTTAACCGGAACGTACCCTTTCTTTCTTTTTTCTTTTTTTTTAGACTTTTCTTTTTTTTTTTTTTATAAATGACAAAATCACCAAACTTCCTTATTATTGTCGCAGATGACTTGGGCTGGTCAGATGTTGGAGCTTTCGGTTCAGAAATCAACACTCCTAATCTGGATACTCTAGCCAAAGAAGGCCTTCGGTTTACAGATTTTCATACAGCATCGGCTTGTTCACCTACGAGGTCAATGCTCTTGTCTGGGACGGACAATCACCTTGCCGGTCTAGGTCAAATGGCAGAATTTGCGTCCCGAATGCATCAATGGGACGACTATCCAGGATACGAAGGTTATTTGAACTGGAGAGTTGCAGCTCTACCTGAAATATTAAAAGAAAAATACGATAATATTATTTCTGGAAAATGGCATTTGGGATTGACGAAAGAGACTTCTCCTTCAGCTCGTGGTTTTGAAAAAGTATTTTCCTTACTTCCTGGTGCTGGTCATCATTACAAAGACTATAAACCTTCAGATGATACTTACAAAGAGAAGGGAGATGATTTAAAGAAATTACTTCCTTCTCTGTATATGTCTGGAAACGAATTTATTGACGCTGATAAAGAGCTACCAGAAGATTTTTATTCTTCAGATTATTTCACAACCAAACTAGAAGGCTTTCTTAATGAACATTATAGCAAAGACAAGGATAGACCATTCTTTGCCTACCTTCCGTTTACCGCTCCTCACTGGCCTTTACAGGCACCTCGTCAACTCATTGAAAAGTATGCTGGTAGATATAACCAAGGTCCAGATGCCTTGCGTCTATCTAGACTAAAGAAACAAGAAAATCTCGGCTTATATAGTAGCATACGAGATGGTCCTCCTGCTGAAGTTTCTACTGGGGATGAAAAAGAGTGGTCAGAAATGAGAGAAGAAGAGCGAAAATTTAGTTCCAAGACAATGGAAGTTTACGCGGCAATGGTCGAACGATTAGATTGGAATGTCGGAAGAATCATTCAATACTTAAAAGAAAAAGGAGAATACGACAACACATTTGTTTTATTCATGTCAGACAATGGTGCTGAAGGTGCCATACTTGAAAATGTACCTCTACGAGGTGGAAAAGTTTCTGATATCATTCGTCAAAGGTATGATAATTCTTTGGACAATCTTGGAAACAGAAATTCATTTACATGGTACGGACCAAGATGGGCGTTGGCAGCCACGGCTCCTTCAAGAGACTTTAAGTCTTATATATCCGAAGGTGGAATCCGTTGTCCACTCATTGTTCGATTTCCTCCTATTATTCAAAACCCTGGTAGTATCTCTCATACCTTTACTACCGTTATGGATATTACACCAACTGTCCTTGAGCTAGCAGGTATTGAGCACCCATATCCTCGATACGCTGAAAGGGATGTTCTACCAGTAAGAGGTAAATCTTGGGTAAAGCATCTCGCAACAGGAACTTCTGTATACAATGAAGAGCTGGACTTTACGGGTTGGGAACTTTTTGGGCAACGAGCAATACGACGCGGACCTTGGAAAGCCATTTATGTTCCCGTATCAAGCGCCTTTTTTTATTTATCTCAAAAATTGAGGGATGGACGACGTGGTGATTCGAAGTGGAAGCTCTATAATATCAAAGAAGATCGTGCTGAATCAAACGACCTTTCTGAGAGTAGGCCAGATATACTGCAGGAACTGATTAATTACTGGACTTTGTATGTCAGTGAAACAGGACTGATTCCTGTCATTGAAAACTAGGAAGTTAATGATATGGTGAAGTAGTACTTATAAATAAGAAAAAAGCTTACAAGTTAATTTCCGTTGATAACGTTGAGTAGAAAAGGATGCGATTTGCGCTAGAAAGACAATTTCAGATAGCTTGTTTTACGGTATCATTTATGTCAGGGCAAACAAAAATAAAAGACAAACCAAGAGAGAATAAAAAATAATTTTCTATACATAAAAAAGCATAGATAAACAAATGGCACAACAAACCTGATAATTTAGACTGAAAGCTAATTAGAGAAGATGCTTCTTTTCACCTTCATTTGGAAAAATTAGAAAGAATACATACATAAATACATACATACTTGGTTGTAAGTATAGTAGAAATCGTTTATCATACAATTTAAGCCCTCAAATTATATCAAGTTTAAAATACTCCCATATTCCTAATGTAGACTGGTATGTCATAGCAATGAATAAACTAAAAGCATTATCCTTTCCTAAATACTGCACCTTAAATCCTTTTTTTTTTAGAAAAAAAAAATCATTAATACTTTAGTTATCTCCTTTCTTTAAGTTGATTAGTCTTTGAACAGGGTAAAACAAAAAAATAAAATTGAGTCTAACATAATATTTAAAAATTATTAACAGTCTGCTGAAGGACTATTCATTAATTTCTATGTACTTTATTTGATTAGTTATGTTTTATTTTCGATGATATAATTCCTATCTATGTAGTACGAATAGCATTGAATTACTGCCCATTGTAGACAGAAAAATACTTTGCTCAAGTGTGTTTACTTTCATGGGTAAACTGATTTAACACGTCACATATATCATGATCACTATTTTATTAAGCACAGAGATTCATGGGTGACTGTATTATCAATTTGAAACTCAATTTATTCTATAAGATATTATGTCGTTAGTAGAATCCCACTATGGCTAGTAGACTGAATTTGTGCTTGAGGTGCAATGTAATTAGCTCTACCCTTAAAATCTCTCCTAACTGAAGGCTTCCATGACAGCCTTGTTGTTATTTTATTATCAATTCTAATTGAAAAAAACAGTTTATACTCATTTTAAACATTGAATTTTTGTTTTTACTTCGAATTTGCATTTCTCCCTTATACGCATATATTACATTGATCACAAGGTAATGTCGTAAAACAATATACTCTTTTGTGTTATTCATTCTGTCTAATATTTGATGATTATTTAATCTTCCTTTGACAGAGTTGTAGTAGGATAACTTTTTAGTATATTACGATGAAACCTACTATTGGAAAACCATTCCTTTAGTGCATCGTAGCGTTGTGAGCAATAAAAACGGTTAGATAGTAATTATGCTATAGTTGCGACAATGCAAATGTAAGGCTAAGGAATTAGCAATCCTGCGCAATTGTTTACCAACTTTAGAAAATGAATTAAGTATATCTAATTCAGGTCAACTATAAATACTTGCGGATGTACAGCAGGAATTATCAAATATAGCCATCCATTTTATAAACAATGACTACTACAACTGCAACTGCGAATGCAACTCTTTCTACTATTGCGCTCGCTGATAATGTTCAGCAATTGCGCTTAAATGAAGAGAAATCAAGCAGTAACTCTTCTGAACTTTCACGCGCAATTTACAATGGGTATAATGATACAACCGAGCAAAACCAAGACGAAAAATATACTGAGTTTGACCTAGATGGTCGAGGAACGAAACGTTTTGCCCTTCCGGAAGGTTACAGGTTTTCCGATGTTTTGCCTTCTTATCCTGCAATTCATGACCAAACTTTGGGAGACATAGAATTCAATGACAGGGGACTTTTGGCTGATCCTAGCTTTTCCAATTTACTTCGTGATGTCACTAAGATAGAGCACCTTTCTCGAGACGTGGGCACAGTTCTACATGGCCTTCGGCTAAATAGATTGAATGAGGCACAAAGAGATGAACTCGCAAGATTAATCGCAGAACGAGGCGTTGTATATTTTCCGGATCAAAAGGAAATGACAAATGATGAATTTCAGCAACTCGGTCGATATTATGGTAAAACACACGTTCACGGAGCAAATGCTCGACCTAACGATCCTTCCAAATCTGATTTCCATGTTGTTTACTCGGATCGATATACAGCCTTTGACATTGAAGATAACCGTACTGATTTGGAGAGATTCCATTCGGACGTAAGTTATGAAAAGCAACCCCTTGCTACAACGTTCTTTCGGGGATTGACAGTACCCAAATATGGCGGAGATACTGTATTCGTTTCTGGATACGCAGCTTATGAAGCTCTTTCCGACCCATTGAAACTCTACTTGGAAGGATTAACTGCGGTTCATTCTGGAGTGCAGCAAGCGAATGCCAAGAAAGAGCTAGGATTAAACTTGCGAAGAGAAGGTATTGAAACTGCACATCCAATAGTACGCACACATCCAGTCACTGGCTGGAAAGCGTTGTATGTGAATCCTGGTTTTACTCGCTACATCGTTGGAATTCCACGCGCAGAATCGGATGCCATACTTAATTATTTATTTCAGCTCCTCTCAACTCTTTCTGCCAGCACTATTCGTGTACGTTGGTCTCCATATGGTGTAGCAGCTTGGGACAACAGGATCATTCTTGCTCACTCAGCGACCTATGATCATTATCCTCAGACGCGTCACTTTATAAGAATAGGCGTACACGGTGAAAAGCCCTTTTACGATCCAAATTCCAAGGAGCGGGCCAAGGAATTACAGAAATAAGTTAACAATATTTTACTCTTTAAATTTACGAATTTTTTCTTGCCATTTTATATGCTTATGATATCTTTGCTTTTGCTTTACCTTGCTATTCATTCACTTTTATCAAATCTATAATAAGATCTATTTTTAATTCAATGTATTATATAAACATTGGGAGGATGATGAGAGAAGTATATTCATTTTTTAAAGTGTCAAACCTTTTGATTGAAGTATTCTCTTTGCTATTGTATTTAACAAAGAGAACTGCAGTTGAACATGGCCATAAGGTTCTGAAAGAAACTCTCTGAAGATGTACTATCTGGTATTATTTAATTGATTAAGATCTCTCTTTGAAGTTTTTATGAATACACTAACCTTTTCAGTAGTGTTTTTTAAGAGAACGCAACCTACCGTGTGTCTTTAACACTTATGTATGAACTCAGTTTTTCATTGATAATTTTTGAGTATTTTGTAATAAAAAATTAATTTTTAAAAAAGTTGATAGCCACTATAACTCTTAAAGATTTTCATTTGCTCAGCTAGATAATTGTGAATAGTTTTAACTTCAGCTGAGCATTAAATTAGCAGCTTCATGGAGAAGATTGTCTGAAATTTAAGTTATAATTTCCTACCGGAACTGAAAACAATTAGATAGATGGTAATTATAGCCTTAAATTGACTTACGAAAATGTCTAAGAATAAAATGTTTATCAGAAACACATACCTCCAAACTTGATGCAGAGTACATACTCTTTGTCGCTTACCTGAGTAATGGCATATGGGCTTTGGAAACATCTAAACACTAGGAAACATTGTACTTACGAAATTGAATAAATGCTGACACAAAATATAAAAGAAATTTTGATGAGACTTGCTACATTCCGATTTAGTACTCTTAAGGAAATGCATACTTAAAAAGTATTTAATGAATCGACTTTTATTTTTGACTCAGAATACGGGATGTATGATTAACAGGTGTACTAATTCAAAATATGGTCCACTATATATGTATATATATATATTATTTTTTTTTTTTTGACTGGATTAACTGTTTTTTCTTTATAATAAATAGTTTAAATTTATGAGGAGGACATGGCTGTTTTTGTTTTTTATTGTAATTCTCCAAAGTACGTTACCATGAATAGTATCAAATTTCCTCCTCACTCAAGTAAAGAATTGACTATTTTCATATATTCAAACTTTCTTATAACTCTCTAAATATGGTATGCTGGGTGTTCCTTTGACTTTTAACTAACCCGAAGTCAATTAAACATACTTTGAAACCATCTGACAGCCTTCATAACGGACTTTCCCATTTCTGCTTTTCCGCTACCTTGATTTGTTCCGTTAATTTATAAAGCTCCAATGTAAAGAAGAAAATTAATGAACGGTGTTGAAATTGTCGGAAATTCAGGAGTTGAAACAATTTGATTCATTGATTAAGCTAGTCTCATTTTATAATGCAAATGACGACTAGTTTTCCTTTTCTATAAGCGAGTTCACAAGGATATATCATACTGAAAAAAATTTTCTAAGTGTGGAAAAGTATCCATAAAAATTTGAAAGGATGGTAAGGAGGTGTCAGTAGTTATTGAAGTTATTACTGGTTGTTTTATTTAAATGAAAACAATTTTGATATGTTTGACAAGAAGGTCCTCTTTTCCGATCTGAAAGGAGCGAGTGATTTTGCGTTATCGTTCTGGAATAAGTAAATCGAAAAAAAAAAAGATAATCCATATAACTTCTAAACTTTACTATCATTGTAACCAATAATTTAGAAAATGGTAAAAATGGTTTATACATAATAATTATTATTCCAGGGACTATTAAAAAACAACATTAAACCCCGGATGATTTTCACTGCTACCGACTCTTGAGTCAGATCTTCACTGGTATTATTACTTGAAAGCATTTCAAGTGAGACCTCCTAAAATCTTTTGTCTAAGGTACCAACCAACCTGGAACATTATGCCATCCTCTCTTCTGTTAATTTGGGACTTCGATTCAAACAGAAATCACCCTCCTCATTTCGGCTGAACTATACAAAAGATTATCTCGCTAAATGCTGGTCTTTTCTCACACAACTGCCATTATATCATGGCCTGCAATTCTTCTTTTTCCAAGATAAAAAAATCTTTCAGTGTTGAAGCAAATCGCTGCAATCCCACTTCAAACTTATCAATAGGGGCAATTGAATAGGCAAACCTAAAGAAGATCCGATCGTTATTTTCTGGGTAAGCCATAAATAATTGCCCACATACTGGCTTCACTCCCTTTTGCAAAAGTGCCTGAAAAATTTCCAATTCAATTTCAGGGACAGACTTCTGCTGACTGCTGAAAAGATAACGATCTTTATTAAGCTCTACCCATAAAAACAAACCTGCATTTGGAATTTGATAAGAGCAGATACTGTTTGGAAGATACTTATCTGCGTATTGAAGCAACGCATTTCGCCGAGTAGTGTACGTGCGTTGTAGCTCTTGCAACCAAAGGAAGAATCCTTCTTGTTTCCAATGGTTTAAAATTGCATACAAAGCGACTTGAGAGATACCCGAAGGGCTTTCCGTAGATACCTCTGCAGCTCGCGTAATGCGATCAATGAACAGCGGGTTACCAGTAATCCAGCCTAATCGACTACCTGGAGCAATAAGTTTCGAAAATGAATCGAGTCGCAAAACCCGTCCTTCAGTGTCAAGTTTCAAAAAAGAGGGGACCAGCTTGTTAACGAACGACGATACACCAATATTTTGTGTACTATCTTGCTTTTGAATTTCTGATGCCAGCACATTTCCATGATAACTGTCCATTTGCAAAAAGTAATACGGTTCATCCTCAATGATGATAATATCGTATTTCTGAGCTAACGCAAAAATTCTCTTTCTCCGTCCGATTGGCAAAGTGGAGCCTGTTGGGTTTTGACCTGTTGGGATCGTGTACAATACACGAGGTCTTGGTCCGTTCGAAGCATCCCAATTTTCCATTATTCCTTGTAAACTCTCGGGAAGCATGCCTTCTTCATCCATGTCAATGGAAACAAATTTTACTCCCAGAGGAGACATTGTGGTTATTGCAGCTGGATACGTGTATTTTTCTATAAGAACAGAATCTCCATAATTAACAAGTAATCTTAAGCAATAGTCAAGACCAATTGTGTTTCCATTCGTCAACTTAATTTCCCATTCCTTATAACGTGGAGAATGCGCCAGCTCAACATGTTCCTTTATGAAGTTAACTAGTTCTGGAATACCCTGACATTGTCCATATTGTAAAGCTCCTTCAAAGTCCAAATTGTTTTCACTCTTGTCTTTTCCTAAATCAAACGATACATCAACCTCTTTAGGATAACGATTTTCAATTTCCTCTTCAAAGTACCCAGTCTCTGGAAACCGGACAGAAAGATTTCGAATAGGAAACTTACTTGGAAGGGGAACTCCACCTGAAAACGATATCAAGTCGATATCCTTGTTACACTTAATGCGATCCAACATCTGAAAGGGTCCATTTCCACGAGTTCTGGATTCTCGCGACAAATGATGTTGAAACTTATCAAAGGAACTCAAAAAGGACATCAAAATTTCCTTGGCCTTAGCCTCTTAATAATGCTGACTTGTATGTTTTTGGAATACCTCTAAATCCCAAATGGAAGCAGATGGCAGAGCTCTTTTTTCAAGTTTATTTTCTTTACATAAAAGAAAGACCAAAATTCGTAAGGAGTATTTCTATGACTTAGGCATAGAAGCAAAACAATGATTTTTCCAAAGGATGGAGTGCGCAGTGTATAAACGAGTTCATGTAGAGGATTTCCAACATCTATCCCGAAGATAAGAAACCAGAAGGATGGATCATTTTAAACAATAACTCTGATAATAAAAAAAAAAAAAAAAAAAAAATGATAGAATAGATTAGAAAAAAAAAAGAGGTAAAATATGAGATACTTTTTTTTTAACTTACTTAAAACAGATTTGTTGGCTTCAGTGTTTTCATGTTGTAACAATATATAGCAACACAAATCATAAACAAATCGTAAAAGGCGATAACTAAAAATTGGCAACGAAAATTGCATGTGAAGGATACATAGTATGAAAAACTCAGACTTTTTGATGTTGAAAACTTGATGCAGATGCGACATCCATCACTTTTGACCTTCTTCATAGCATCCTAGGTTGTTTTAATATGAGTCTTTAAAGTGAAGTAGATTTTCTTTACCTTCTGGACTTTTTGGTCATGATAGGTTTAAAGAATTTACTATTCATTTTGGCCGAAGAACTAGATTTAGAGATTTCATAAAGCTGGATAATTAAAAGAAAATCGATTGTCAAAAACATTGTTATTATAGTTCATCACATGCTTGATCGATGCATAAAAAGGTTTCAAATTTAGCGATTAGTCTCGTTTACTTAAAATAGGACTTGGCGGGGCTTTGGGGATTGGGACCGGCTCACTCAAAAGTTGCAGAGGCCCACATAGTTGATCAAACTTTAGCTTTGGATAGGCATTTATGTAGTAGCGCTGAATCTCTGGAAATTTGGCCAATTCATCTTTCGTCATAACAGATGACAACACGAAGTATAAGCTGGCAACTGCCGCAGCATCTGCAATAGTTGGATCTTCTCCAACAAGGAACTCCTTATCTTTTACTTGACGCTCTAAGACTGCAAAGATGGAAAAAGTGTTTTTCTTGGCTTTCTCTTCTGTTTTTGGATCATATGGAATGGAGCGCATTCTCCCAGCCACCCATGGAATAACAGCATCATAAAATTCCTGATTGAAGAAACAAGCCCACATCAAGACTTCAGCCTTGGCAAGAGCAGTAGCTCCACCTACAATGCCTAATGGATCATAGCTCGCAAAAAAGCTAGCGATCGCGATAGATTGCCACAGACAAATTCCGTCAGCACCAACGAAAACAGGAATTTTTTGTATGGGAAATTTTTCAGCTAAGCCTTTAGGAAAAGATCCTGGTAATGTATTAGAAGCATTCTCTACCGGTAGACCCAGCAATGCAGCCGTGCTGAGGACCATGCCGACTCGAGGAGACTTAACAGAACCGTAGACAGTACCGAATGCCATTTTGTTAATTTCACTGTTTACTCTACTCCATCAGGAATAGCTCTATTTATTAAGACAATCACGGTGGCAAAAAAAGGAAAGGTCGGAAACGGAATCAAAGATGCCGTTTCAAAAATGCTTTGTTACGCTGTACTTACATCACAGAGGTCAAAGAAATGAAACTTACTGGGTTTCAAAGTAATACTTTTTATTTCAAGCCAAGATATATGAATATGCAGACAAGCTTTGAAATATCCTCATTGTTTCAAGTATTTTTTAAAGGTTTTAAACACTGTATTTGAGCTTTCAAAGAAATGAATGAATTATGTGACAACGTCATTCTGGGTGTCCTTATTACTGTGTTCAAGCAGTTGGTCTTTGAACTTTGATCTAGAAAAACTCGTTGTACGATGGATATTAGCAGCTTTAAGAAAACAAAACGTTGATATCATTTTATTCATGAATTTTCAGGATCAGTAGATATTTGCATCGCTTCCTAATATTTAGCATGTATATATAATATGTTTTTAGTTCAGCACTAAATGACGAACGTATTAAGAATAAAACTATAAGTAAACGCTTAATAACATGAGGTTATTTTATCTGAAAATGTGTTTTTATTCTTTCTGCTTGCATTTATTATTACATACTTGTACAAAGGGTATAGGCTAATTATGAAGAAAATTTTATTAAAAACATTAAATATTTAAGCATTAGGAGTCCGTTATATACACCTACCTACCATTCCATTGGAGATTTATTAGGTCCATAGTGTTTGATTCTTTTTTCCCACATATATAAAGAGCATACTCATTCTGAGAAATTTTTCACCATACTTTTTCATCATCCATTGTCGATGAATCTTGGTCAGGCTTTTCGTTCAGCTGACTTACGTTGAGGTCAATTTCAGAAAGACTCCAAAACCGGGTTTTCGCAAAGAATTTGTATGTAAAATAAACTATAGGAAATAATGGGAGCAAAATATATGAATCAATAAAACTACCTGCGTTAAAAGGACTAAGAGTGGTCCACCCTTGAATTAATGCAAGAAAGATAGTGGCTGCTAAACCAAAATAAGCATTCCAAGGAAAACAAAACGATTTGTATGGTAGCTCATCAGCATCGTGCCCCTGAACTTTCCAAGCACGTCGAAACCGAATATGTATAAATGAGATAGATCCCCAGACCAGGAAGGTTGAGACACCACTCAAATTCACAATATAGTTGTATGCTTTTTGCGCTCCGGTACTGACATTCATCAATGACAAAGCGCCAAATAAATTTGTGAAAATGATGGCATAAACCGGTACGCCGCGCTTATGTACTTTGCCTAAAAAGCGAGGCGCTTTTCGTTTCCGAGCCATAAAGAGAACAGTACGGGATCCAATATAGATTGCACTGTTTACACTAGAGAGACTCGTTATAAAAATAAAGGAATTAATTAGATGAGCTCCTCCCTTCCAGCCAGCATTTTGGATAGCTATTGTCATTGGACTTTTTAGAGCGCGACTAGAACCTCCGGACAATCCTGGCGAATTAGAAGGACAAGTAAGCCCAAAGAAGAATGCAGATCCAATATAAACGAAAAGAATACGCCAAAAAACTTGTCGGATAGCACGGGGTACTGCGACTTCAGGGTTTTTTGTTTCTGTGGCAGCTACGCCAACAGATTCGCATCCAGAATAGTACGCAGAACAATACGTGAAAACCGATGCAACTCCCCGAAACCCATTTACAAACGGTCCAGGGTTATGCCAATACCGAAAGCCCAATGCTCCCTTCTGATGTACCAAGCCTCCTGCGGCATAAACAATGGAAAAGATAAAGTAACTGACAAGCCCTAAGAGTTTCAAGAGAGCGAGCCAAAACTCTGCTTCGCCAAACGCTTCTACTCCTAAGAGTTGGAATAACAGGAAAAAAACCCAAAAAATGAGAAAGTACCCCCAAATTGGTACTTTATCACTCCAAAACAAAAAGATACTTGTTATTGTGTTGTACTCATTTGCTAAAACTGCTACCCAGTTGATAAAATAATACCAGCCAACGGCAACTCCAAAGGCTTTATCTACCATGCGATCTGACAGCTCTGTAAAGGATCCTCCACTTGGATACATGGTTGTAATTTCTCCCAATGATTGCATAACACTAAAGGCTATTATTCCAACACTTGCAAACCCAATTAACAAAGATGCTGGTCCTCCACTTGCGAGTGCTTCACCTGATCCAACAAGCAGCCCGGGACCAATGATGCCGGCCAGTGCCATCATACTGAGATGTCTTGGCTTTAATCCCCGTTTTACTCCATTTTCATAATTGGACTTGATACTTTTCTGATCTTTGTCGCATTTATCAAACTCGTCTAGGATTTCGACGGTCGAGTCGTTTGTCGAATCCTTCTTTTCCGTGTATGGTTTCTTCTTGATCACTGAATTAAAACATTGCTTCATTCTCGGACGTTATGATAAAAAAAGTTACCTGCATATGAAAGAATTGATCATGAACGAGAGAAATTCTTCATTTTTATGTATTCTTGCAAGCTATCTACAATCTAATGAAAGTTAAAGATACTTTAACTTATATCAAAGTATGATCAAATAATAACAATATTCGAAATATCTTATCACTGAATTATTGATTCCCCGCGGCATAATAGTTTACAGCTGTTACAGTTAATTCCCATTATTAGGTAACTAAGGACAATAATAGCATGGCGACATCTCTGAAGTAACTTGAGGAATCAATAGCAGCTTTAAGTCTCTCAATTTAAATCCATAATCAACAAATGAATATGAGACTATTGTTCCGTTTCTTCATCATGTTCCTAGTTTCCATCCATCCAGTGATGGTGCTCTACCGTCTTCCCTTCTACTAGCTCTAGCTCAAAGAATGAAAAGGAAAGGAAATGCTATGTAGGCAAACCAAGTGTTAAATCTGATTTAAAGTCATAGGTGAAAAAAAGGTGTTTATACCCAAAAGGACCAAAAATGGTTTAAAATAAATCTTAATTGGGGAAATGATATTGACTGTACATTTCTTTGGGCTTTTAAATGAGTACTTATGCATATAGGTCTATGTTTGAGCTACAGCTTAGGTTAGTCCATGCTTCTACATACTAATTGAATTGATTACAGCCTTCCAGCTACTCTATTTGAAGATATTCTCTTATCAAATTGCGTCTTTACGGTTTCCAGCAGAAGATGGATCCAAATGTTATTATTGGATTCTTTGAGAATACACCATACCATGCGCATACCTTATTTTAGTTTTACCTATAAAAAGGAGGCTAATCTTCTGAAAATATATGATATTGATTGAATACCTCTTACATATTTTTTATATTTGCCGATGTTATTTTTTACGGGTGGGTGAAATAGGTTTCATAAAGATCGAGTTTGTTGAGTTTGTTTCGTAAAACCCTTAGCTTACAAATTTGGCTCTTTTTATCTTTTTTCTTCTTCTTGTCTCTTCTTTATTTCATTACATTGTATATCGTTTACTCGCTATACCCTCCGTCGTCTGCACCTTTCTTCTGGTCATAAAAACGGTATTTGAAGGTTCCGTCTCGTTAATATACAAACATTCTTAAAACAACATAATATGTGATGCGGTTATTGATATTCTGTAGTAGACTCTGCTCCTACATGAAATTTTCACACTTTGTGTATAATTTTCCACACCAACCTCAGTCAACTGTTCATATACATGGACCACTCTTGGACCGAAACGTAGGTGTGCAAAAGCACATATCTGCATTTTTTTTGATACTTTTTTGATAATTTATTCGCTATACTTTTAATAGAACTGTTTTATCTCTGTGGATAGCAAATCCCCTTCGATATTGCCTTGTTCTGAATCTTTTTACGTCGGTTGTGATTACTCACATGCATGCTCAATCTTTAAAGCATTTCAAAGTTATTAGAAGTAATTTATTAGAGAAAGGATGCTTTTAACGGAATCCTACTTTATTATAACGTCTATCTTAGGCAGTCTGGCTAGGCTTGGTTTAATGACGCTGAATACATATCCCAATAGCCCATTTAATGGTATCATCTGGGCGCAGGTCGTTGGTTGTATAATAATGGGCTTTGCGCAGACAGAAACCGTTTTTTTTCCTCGGCCAAAACATAATGCAGCACTTTTACTAGCAATAACCACAGGATTTTGTGGTTCCCTTACTACTTTTTCTTCATGGATGTTGGAGATGTTTACGGCCATGGCTAACCTTGACCCTTTTCTACCCAGAGGACGGGGGTATTCGTTTTTGGCTGTCGTTTCGACATTTACGTTGACGATATCAATGGCGTTTTCCGGCTTATTGTTTGGAAAACAATTAGGAAAGTCAACAATGCATTGGAAGATCGGTGACTTTCGACTTGCTCGAGCAATTCCAATGCACACTCACCTAATCGTAAAAGGGCTACTCTTTATACTGGCTATTTGTTTTTTTGTTGGAAGTTCCTTTTACACTGCTTATACTAAGAATATTACACATCGGGGTATCGGGTTCAGCTTAATCTTTTCCCCATTTGGTGCAGTTTTGCGATTATACCTTGCTCGCTGGTTTAACTCTCCGAAATACTATATGCCGTACGGAACACTGATTGCAAATCTCTTGGGTACTTTACTCATTGCTATTATGTACATGATTCCTCGTATTGCTCACTGCAATCCTGTTTCTAGAAGTGTGATATACGGAATTCAGAATGGGTTTTGCGGCTGCTTGACCACTTTGTCTACATTCGTCAATGAACTTCATACTATGCATGCAAAAAGAGCATACATGTATTGTATTTTGAGTGTTGCCGTTGGATTTTCATTTTGTGTAATCATTGATGGCGCTACTGCCTGGGGACATGGTTATAATGTGCAATAATAACGCACAGTATCACATTCGTTACTTACTCGCTTTATCCTTTGGTCATACTTTCTTTCTATAATTATTGCTTTATTGAACATTTTTTCGCTTGCGACGTGCTCCTTGTGATCCTATGAAACTTAATATGACTCCTCGCTTTTGGATGTCTTGCTAAAAAGGAAACAATAGGGAACTAAAAATAGTAACTAAGGGGTTCAGTTTATGCTTAAATATAATGTCAGAAGTGAAAGCTAATATCCTTCATTTTTGGATTAATCTTTTGTGAAGATCATCAGGTATATACGCTGCACGAATTTCGATAGACACTTTTTTTCTCATGTAAATATACCTTGATCTATAATTTATTTATTTTTCTTTTTAGAAATAGCTCTACTTGACTTGGCACTCATTCTTTGCGTTTTAGAATTCAGCTTTTGTAAAGTATCTTCACGCATTTTTGATGAATTTTCATTAATCTTAGTATGCAGTATGTTTCTTAATTAACAAAATACACACGAAGAAATTGGTATCTCCAAACCAACATTTTACTGCTCCTTTATTGATTTTCCCTTCTCAAACGCACTGGCGTTTTCGGTGACTTTACCTAATACTTCTTCTACATCACCTTTAAAATGTTTCGCTGTTTTAGATTCCTCAATGGGACCTTTTTGGTTATTTACGTCTGTAGGTTCGGGTTTGGAAGAATATCCCTCTGTAGCATTTGAATCGTATCCATAGGTTGAATCCGTTCCTGCAGATGCTTCAGATTGTTTCTCTTTTTCATTACGTTGTGGATCTACCTGGTTTAATCGTAGAATCGTAAGCTAAATTAATGCCTAAGTGAATTAGATAATTCATACCATAGTGACAACTCTCGTAAATAAACAAAGGATTCAAATCTCTGTGGAGTAAAACAAGTTAAAGGTTGAAAGTAGATGGTTTATAGGTTTATTACGAAAGTCATTTTTAAAGTCAACAGACGGCATCGCAGTACATAGAACGTAATATTCGTTAGTGTAATGATAGTATCTAAAAGGAGAAACAAGATGGTGATGAAAAGCAAACCATAAAAGTAATTATGAAGGCTCAAATCTATTGCAGTAAATTTGTTTTACTCGCACAAAATTGACTTTGCACATATTCCATCCCTTGTATTGGGTTTTTCTGCTACGGCTATCCTTAAATATCCGCCTTTAATTCATCCAAAATTATTACAAACATTTTTTTTATCTCTTCGTTACAACCCCCCTCTAATCAGGACTGCGTCAACTCATTATCCAGTCGGCCATGCTTTATGCATTCTTTTAAAGTTTTCAGAGTGATGGTCAATGCAGGTGTCGTCGGGATAGCTTTCATTTTCAGACCTCGAGTGATATCTTGCAAGTGAGCAGCTGCTTTAGTTCCCCCATGGCCTCCATATGAAACGATACCAGTAGGTTTCCCATTCCACTCATGACAAAGAAAATCAATTGCATTTTTTAGAGTAGCTGGTATACTCCAGTTAAACTGAGGGGCAACAAATATAACGGCATCATATTTTCGAATTTCCGATGACCACCTACGAGTAGTAGCATGTTGGTAATAAGGAGTAGGATCCTCTTTTGGTAAAAGAACTGGAATCTGCGGCTCGTTAATACATTGGAAGGTTGTATTCCATAATATCGATAGTATGAACAGATATCCCGCTTGGTATACTTGATGCTATGACAGATCGTACATAGTCTGTAATAAACGGGTTCAGACGTGGACTACGACTGCTACATGTAATTAAAATTATTTTTTTTTGAAGCATTTTTTTTCATATTTTTTTTTTTTTGTAGGTTTTCTGTCAATCACAACTCTTAGGGTCTGTTTTCTGATTGAACATTTTCCTCAGATTCGCCGGGGATCTTTTACTTCCTTGGATTAAAATTAAATCAAGACTCAATTCATCACTTACACATTACAGTACTCATGGGGACTATGTACTTTTGTTACCACACACTATTTTGTGGGATACTGTCGCCTACGCTATATGTAAGATGGCTGCATTTACAAGTTTCTCTACCCAAAGTCGTACATGCTTATGGGGTAGGAGGTACCCTTTGGTTTAGATTCAGCTCGAGCGCACGACTCGTACTTGCATTATTGTAATTTCCCATCTCTTATCCCTTAATCAGTCAAATTAATCGTCGTCGTAGACACTATTCTACTTTTTCAAATGTAAATAAACCAAACTTATGGAAATTACTGTGCAAATGGATTCAATCGTTATTATGATGTACGAATACCAAATAAAAAAGTAAACCTAACTTATAAAGTCAGTCATTTTACGAAAGAATTAAACTCGCGTAAAACAATTTCAAAGGCTTTGGAAATGCCTAGAAATAACAAATGGCTGAATTGTGTTAACTATAACTCTCATGCTTTTGAAAAAGGTAACAATATCGCAAAATAAAAAAGGCATTCAATGTAGCAAGTATTAAGCAAAGTTGCAAATGTAAATTTTCTACGTATTTGTCTTCTACCTTTATGGTGAGTAGTGTCTGTGATAAAGTTGCACAACACCCCGATAAAAGTGCCTCGGTGCTAGCAAATGTTCTTTTTACCTTAAGAGATAAAATCATAGGTTGAATGAAACGTTATGAAATATGCAAAAAATGATTGTGAAACCAAGCCTTAAAGGCAATTGGGTTTCTTAAGTAAAAAAAAAAAAAGAAAAAAAAAAAACGAGAACCTATAAATCTTTCTACGATATATTTTGAGAGTGTTGTTGAAAATATCATTTATTTTGATTTTATCTACATCTAATCAAGCTGGTGGTAACGTTTGCTATTGATAAGGTTTCGGTTAGAAATTAGGAACCCTCTGCAGTACCCGCGAACTGTAACGTAATGAGCGCTTAAAGGTAGCGTAATCGATTCTATGGATTCCTAATTAACCCCGCATATTTACCATTTGAGGCTATCAATGACCACATTTATTGTACCATTTGTACCATTTGAAGAGAAGAAAAAGCAATATGTAAGCGTATTAATTGGTTATTTGAGAACTGTAAAAGCCTCAGATGCGAAAAGATAATCAACGAGATGATTCTCGAATATAAAAGCGACAGGGTACGATCCCTTCAGCAGGTTAACCTTTTTCATTCTTTTTTGTGTGAGTAATTTCACCATAGAAAAGTGGTGCAACAACGACTGCGTTACTCAATTATTCGTAAACTATTTATTTTGCTCTAAGAAAATAAATAGCGCGATTGCCTAAAAACCATCAAAACAATCTTTAGGAAGGAAGCTACTTTCAGGTCCACTATCCATAATAATGAGCGACGAAACTGACGACCGTCTTACTTATACATATGGGAGTCGAAGTTCACATTCATCCGAACCGGAAGAAGACAAAAAGGGAGTGCAAACATGGACGGTAAAGTCAACTGAATCCAAGGATGATGAATCGAAAGTTGATGACTTGGGACCTCCTCTTCCGTCAAGGAGTTTATACTCTTTTTTCTTTGGACCAAGGGTTAAAATACCAAATGACGCTATAGCCACGCAGTATTCGGTTTATGATGACCCACTGGCTCGAGAGGCGTATTATCCTATTGATACATACGAAAATAAACATCGGTTCGATCCAGGTTTTCGATGGACATGGGGAGAAGAAAAATGGCTTGTAAGAAAAATGGACTTGTTCATTATGCTTTGGACATGTGTAATGTTTTTCGCGCTCGAGTTGGATCGTGCAAACATTAAACAAGCTTTGAGCGATAACTTTTTGGGTGATTTGGGTATGAATACAAATGATTATAATAACGGTATGATTGTTTTTTATTGTTCCTTTTTACTTGCCGAATTGCCCTCGCAATTGGTCAGCAAACGCGTTGGTCCTGACCGCTGGATTCCCACCCAAATTACGTTATGGAGTATTGTTACGATATTTCAAATTTTTGTAAAAAACAGGGCCACCTTTTATGTTACACGGATGCTACTTGGAATTCTTGAAGGAGGGTTCATTCCTGATGTAGTTTTGTATCTTTCCTATTTTTACACTGGTTCGGAGCTAAATCTTCGCTTTTCCTTCTTTTGGATTTCCAATTATATTGCTGATATTTTCGCCTCTTTTTCTGCTGTCGGCATTCTCAAATTACGCGGTCACCATGGGATTGCTGGCTGGCGTTACCTTTTTTTGATTCAAGGCCTTATCACTTTATTCATTGGATTATTATCCTACGGTATGATGCCTTCTGGACCAACAGCTACTGCATCTTGGTTTCGTGGAAGAAAAGGCTGGTTTAGTGAGCGACAAGAGAAAATCATTGTGAATCGAGCACTACGAAACGACCCATCGAAGGGAACCATGCATAACCGACAAGCATTAACACCTAAGCTTCTATGGAAAGCCATTTGTGACTATCATTTGTGGCCTCTCTATGCTATTGGTATTTGTTTTAATATTCCATATCTCCCACCATCATCATACTTAACCTTAAGCCTTAAAGATCTCGGATTCTCAACAGTCTTAACTAACCTACTGGTCCTGCCGTCTACGTTTTTGACGATTATAAATTTATTAGGAATCACATTTTTCAGTGAAATGGTTGGAGAAAAAACATTAGTTTGCATGGGTCCGCAATTATATGTGCTACCATTGTTAATTGCATTGTACCTTTTGCCTGGATCCACCAATAAGTGGGTGTTGTATGCAATCTCTACTTTGATTGTTGGCACTCCTTACGCTCATGCCTTGCAGGTGGGTTGGAATTCTCAAAACTCGAATTCTGTTCGCACTCGCACTGTTTCCGCCTCATTGTATAACGTTTCAGTTCAGATTGGTAGCATCGCATCTGCCGTAATTTATCGGGCAGACGACGCTCCTCGCTATCGACGTGGAAATCGCGACCTTATTGGTATAACGTGTATGAACATTGTTATTTATTTATTTACAAAAGTCTTTTATGTTCATGTGAACAAAAAAAGAGACAAACTATGGAATGGAATGACGGAGGAGGAGAAAAAATATTACATTGAAAATACTACCGACGAAGGAAACAAGAGATTAGATTTTCGTTTTGTCCACTAAGTCCCTTTTGGAAATTTTTTTTTTTTTNTTTTTTTGATTTATTTTAATATCCATGTTAATTATTAGCCTCCTTTTATTTTTTAACCGATTTTCCCTTTGTTGCTACTAGGCTTATACACCTATAAAATATTAGTGTCAAGAGAGCCTTCATATCAGCATATGTAACAGTCAAATTACGGCAAAGTATAAATTGTTTTACGTCGCTACCTGCACTCAGCGCAGTACGTAAACAGATAAAAGTTTCAATTTGAGAAACGATTGATTTACAAAGGACAAATGAGCTATAGAGCAGTTTTATTGATCGATTACAGTAAATGTATTTTTTCTAGAGATATTCAGCTAAACCTTCTATTAACAAGATCATAAACTTGGGCTAATACTATTAATTGAAATAGATTGTCTGAATTTCAAACTAAACACCAACGTTTGAAGCAATAAGTGATTGTATTCGTCACGAGTTTAATCTTCCCGTAACATTACAATTTGTTCATCCAGCAGGTCTTCTAAAGCTAACCGAGACTACAATGAATAAAATACAGTTATATTACGAGAATATTCTTCATTTAATTAAAGAGTATTAAAATAATGAATAAAACAAATGCTTTTTGACTCGATTTGGTCGACTCTGTCGGGCTTTCAGCTCTCAACCTTTTTGGCCGACTCTTACCTTGGGTGTACACTTCGTGCAATTCATAACGCTTCTTCTATTCGTTAAAGGCAAAACTACAAGAACAAACTACAATGCAGCAGCAAGATATACGCAAGATGTTACTCACTGCTGACTGTTCCGGCTTTTGACAAAACACCAGTTTCCATCAATGACTGGACAAAGGTACTGATAGCTCGAATCGCAATCTGAGCAATCTTATCACCGTCACCAGCGTCGGGGTCAAATGAACTAACCGTAAGTGATTTAGGGGTACACTTCTGGGGTACCAAGTTCATGCAGGCAATCAAATCGGATTCAAGTAAACCACCAGGGGATGGGTAATCGTTAACTTTTCCGCACGACTCGTCCAAGACATCCAAATCCATATGAATCAGAGCCGGACTGTATGATCGCCGTTCAAGTTGGGTATTGAGATCGTGGGCGAAATCCACTTTTCTCGAGGTGTCACCCCAAATACACTCCATACCAGCATCTATTACACGTTGTCGCTGAACCTCAGATTGGTCGCGTAGACCACAGTAAAGGAACCGGTGATAGTCAAATGGCTCAAATCCAGGTACAGTTTTCATTAACGTCTTCCAGCTTTCTCCCCGGAGCATAGACAAACCCATGGCATCAAAATAGCCGTTTTCGTTGACGTCAGGAGAGTCAAGATCGTCATGAGCATCAAAGTAAATGAATGCTAAATCCTTAATTTTCAGCCCACATGCGACAGCAGCGCTAGCCATGCAGTTGCCAGAAAGAATTAGGGGAAACGTATTCTTGGCGACGGCCTCGGTAACTGCAAGCGATGTACGACGCATAATCTCAAAACTGCGGCCGATTTCACCCTCAAAGTCATCCACGCGATTAATTTCCTTCAACTCAACCTTGGCACCCAGCCGTTCTAGTTTTTGAACTAATCCCAGCGATCGAATTCGCTTAGGACCATTGCCTACACGGTGATCACGAAGGCCAACATGATAGGGAGAGAAAATAATGGTAATAGCACGGGCGGACATGATAACTTTGAATCTTTATTTTTGTTTTTTGCTGAGATCGGTATAGCGTCAGGAGTATATGATTTTATAGTTAATGAGATTGAACGAGTCACTGTTTTCATTTACTTTTAGAGCCCCGGCTCCAAAAGTAAGCTGCCGAGAATGACGCCTATTTGGCTTGCTTCTGTTGTTTTTTAATTATTTATAGATGGAATTATAAACATCGCTCAAGAAAATGTGTTTGGTAAATGCTAGGTTTCGATGACCACTCTGATTATTACTGTCAATTTGGGCATTGCTTGCATGAACGCACTATACATTATATCACCATTTTCGAATCTACGAAAAGCTTTAACGTTTTTACAAGTTCATCCTTCCTTAATACGTGACATTGTATTGTTTGCTTTTACTGGATTTGTCGGTCAATTATTTATATTTTACACATTGGAAGCATTTGGTAGTATTACATTAGTGACGATTACCTTAACACAAAAGATCTTTACAATGTTTATTAGTATTGCTTATTTTCGTCATTCCGTTTCTTTGCTTCAATGAATGGGCATTGCACTCGTTTTTTTTTGGGAATTTATACGGAAGCTTACTAGAAGATTACGGCTAAAAAAATAATAAAGAGAAGAAAACAGAATAGGCATGCTAGTTTCTGTATTTATTTATAATATCCTTCGTTTAATTATTAACAATGATTGAATTCATTTCATCATCATTGATTATAAATCACTGTGAAGCTCCGGTCCGTAAAATTAAGAGCACCTGTAAGTATCAATAAAATTACTAACTGTTTGGCAACATCCTCATCCAATGCCATTTCCGACACTACCGTAAGAGATATTGCATCTTTATGTGCTGTCGTATATGTTCTCCAGTGATGGCGATTAAAGAATCTTCTTCAACTCCAAAATCTGCAGGAATCTTTTCAATCATTGTACGAAACGTATGTGCTCTTTCAGCTTCATTTTCTTCTAGTAAGGGTCGATCAGCACCATGTTGTTCGGTTTCTTCCAAAACATTGTCCAGGAAGACCAACTTTACGTTTAACTGGGTTGGGCTGCGGGTTTTAATCTCACACTTTCCTCTTGCCGATCAGCTGCATCAGCTTCCTTTTCCCTAGCTTTTCCAACAGCTTTATGACGAATCCATGCTACGCGATCCACGAAGTATTCATCATGAAATATTTTTGCCTCGTTCGTCATCGTCAAAAGAGGCAAATTTTTCAGATATGTAGGCTTTTGAAGAAGTAAAAGTAATTCGATCTTCCCGTTCCCTTGCTGCTTCTCGTTCCAAAGCCGCAACTCTAGCTTTCTCCCGGTTTAACCAACGACAGTGTAGTAAGCATTCATTCCGAAATCTTCCTTCTTGCCCATTTCTTTAGCTTAAATTTTTTTTCATCAGACATTGTAATTGGAATGCCGGATCCATATTCTATAAATGTCAACAGCGAATCAAGGAAGGCGAGAAACCTGGTGCCTCGATAAAAACTCTTGAAGTTCCTCATCCTTTTAAAGGAACCATCTTCTTTCATGTTGCTTGTATTCACGATGGAATCTTGCGTACATCTGTTGCTCTTTGTTTTTCAGGTTTTCGCAATGCCTAATGATCACGGAAGGAGCGATTATCCTCTTTTATAACAGGAAGGAAATCTGAATTAATTCCTTCTAAATCGGAAGAGTTGATAGGAATTACAAGCTTACGACTTTCTTCAAGATATTTTTCGGATTTTTCACGCCTGCCAAGCAGCATTGTATGAGTTCCTATCTTTATTACCAATGCCCTGGATGATTCTCTCGAGATTTGCATAATTTGTTGAAGAGCTAGCGTTTCTTTCTGTTAATTTTTGTAGCGATTTTGTTTCATTCTTGATACAGGTTCTCATTCTCTGCTTCCGTAAAATGGTAAGTTCCGTAGTAAAGCTTTCCTTCTTCCAGATAGAAGAAAAAACCCATGTAAAGCTTCCAAGGCTCTGCTAAATTGTACACTGGATTTGAGTTCGGTAAATCCATAAGAAGCTTGGTCACCTTGAGCAATAATGACACGACACCAACAAGCCAGCTTGCCAGACAATCGTAAATATTTATCAATCCAAATATCGTATAAGTTTCTCCCAAGACCAGGGTCCTTCGAAACTGTTGACTATTTTGGTGGATGAAAGGACGTGATTCCTTCTGTATGCTGACTGTCTCATTCACACAGGTGGATGGATTCTTTTTCTCTTCATGACCGACTTTTTGATTCTTCTACACTCCCTGTTTGTCTTCCAACATACACGCCACTTTTCCCTCGTGATTCTCTTGGTAATTGACCGAATTTCAGTACCGGTTAAAAGTAGTCAAACGGAGTGGCAGCACCTGCTGTAGTAGCTGCAAATATGAAATTCGTGGATCCATATAACTTTCTGTATGTGCCTTAAAACCGGTTAACAAGGGTGCAAAAACAGGCTAGACAGGAATCGTGTATGCTATGCCATTATTCATAGAAGGAATCTGTTGCCCTAAGGCTAACCCAACAGAAGCCAAATTTTTGTTAGTATTCAATACAAATAAAGCAGTTCAAGACAATGCTTATGTTTATTCTTCCTCTGTGTGATATTGGGAAAGAGTTAAGTTCTTACGCGTTTGTCAACGAAAAGTAGCTAACTATGTTCGTTGTTCTTTCCCAATCAAGTCAATGCACACACCATATATAATACCACTCACAGACTAGTGTGTTTAATATAAATATAGATATATATTTATATTTATATTTATACTACACTTTAGCACGTCTGGATCTGAATTCTAAGGGCTTTCTTTCCCTTTGCACTAACCAAGAGATTAACCATATAACATTATGGTCAGGCTTTTTGATGGATTCTGTGAGCGGTCGTTAATGAAAGAGAATTTAAGAGACAACAAGGTATAGGAACTGTTTTCACAGGAATTGTTTCTCTCTATGGAGAGGAGCTGTTACGACCGATTAGGGAAAAATATTACTAACAAGTTTTGCACAGAAGATGCTGAAAAGCTACAAATGGGTTCGAATCGGATGGTCCCTGCTGCAAAAAAAAAAAAAGATTTGTGTGCGTGCGTCACGGTAAGGAACAGTTTTACCAAGGCCTTTCGTCAGGTAGATCATATTTGTATGCGAATTAATGTCATCCGGCAATTCAGAAATCAACGGTATTATTAAAAAGCCCAATATAAAGTCTTCACGTCTTCGCTAAAAAATCTCACCGAGTGAAGTTTCGTACCGGGTATTATACGGCTTGTCAATTTAGCAAGGTATGAGACGCTGGGAATATTGAGTAAAAGAGAATACCGACTTGCTGTGTAAGTGGCTTGATAGCTCAATGATTTGGTCTTGTCTTGCTTGCCTATACCTTGTAATTCTTTTTTCGCTGTCTCCTCCCATGCGTCGCGAACCATCTCTTCCGATCTTGTGTCAGCCAGAGCTACTTCGATCACATTCGACACACATTTATGTTGCTCCACGCATCCTCGTATGTTATCATTACCCTCCTCAAGGTTCGGAAAATAACATCTCCCTTTAAATGTCACTGGTCATCCGGCAATAAGTGTTCCTTAGATTTGGCGAGTACAACTTTTGAAAGAAAAGCGAAAATGACTTCCAATCGGCATGCAGCTTATGGGTAGACGGGATGAAGAGCCATATTAGTGGCTGCAGCATTATTCAACACTGAAATTCCAATTTCAGAGAGCATTCAATTTAAAGTGTGATGAATGCTTTTGCATAGAGCACAGTGAGTTATGTATTGTGATAGTGCTGACTTATTCTCAATCCTCCGAAAATCAAATATATAAAAACATTAGTGGAACAAGGTGTCGTGATTTTAATCCTTATTTCTGACCCAACTTACTAGTCGACGGATAAAATTCGTATTTTATGGCAGAATACACATATTCACTGCATTGCTAGTTTATCGTATTCCGTCTAATTATGTGTCGCCTACTAAGTGTAGCTCCCTCAGTTGGTGATAGTATTCATTCCAAAGCTATACTTAGAAATTTATGATTAGTTCATTAATTTAGTCTCATTTTGACTTTCATATCACTGGTGCGCCTGGTTTAGGTTATAACAGCCTCGGGCAGCGTTTAAGCTTGACAGCTAAAAGGAAGTCTTTAAGGGATTTGTAGTTAGTAACTCTAAGTTGCCTACAATCAAGCCTTAACTGACAATCTTCTGCTAATCAAAAAACTACATTTTATAGGGAGCCAAGCTTCTGAACCAATATCTGGTATAAGGCAGTGCCCTTTGGGTCAAGTATCTTATCCATTAGTTCAAGGAGGGCTAAAGGGTGTGTGCCTGTACCTCGAAGACTATATAATAAATTTAGTCACTGAGTCACTCGTTTACTGTATAGATCCTTTCCTACTTAATCAGCTGTAACTCTTTCCTTTATTATCTTTTAAAGGCATCTTACTCTAGAAGACAAGATATCTGTAGCTACTGATTGTAAGGTAGTTCTAAATTTATAGTCCTATTTCATCATTATGCAGTATTTCTCAGGCTTAACGTGTAACTTAACGGAAGCATTTGTTTTTGATGAACGTTTTGACTAACTTACTTCAGGGAACGCACGTCCAGGATTGAGTTGGCGTTATCGCTGTTGACATTTTGTATGTTTTATAGTAATCGTATTCATTTTTTTTTTCTTTCTTTTTTTTTTTTTTTTTATGTAACAGCTTTACTATTTAATTCATAACAAATCAAGTAGGATAAAGTAATCAAAACTTATGCAAAGTAGTCCAAAACGATGGATGTAAAATGTTACTTTTCATAAGACAATGTTCATCATATTTGTATTCTGGTGACTTTTCACGCTTCTATATATAAAGCATTGACATACTCGTGTAAGCAAACTGTCATCATAAACAAATAAAGGAATAAGGTATTAATTTTTTAGGTAGTAGTTATTATTCCAAGTCTATATATTATAAGCTTGTTTTGAGGAAATTAGCTTGCAAAACATCTTTCTACGGAATCAGCATTGTTTCCCCACCAGTTCGGCATTGCAACTTGTTTTCCAGCGCTAAAAAAAATAAAAATTAAAAGCATAGCAAGATTAAACGCTGTATCAAATGCAGCACCTAGGATATAGTTGTATTTTCTCCAAAGATTGTGTCTGTAACGGTAAAAGTAGAAGTTGGTAATCGTTCCTCCGATAAAACTTGAAAGGTAGCCAGTGGAGAGATTACCGTAAAAGTTGGACATCGTAGAAAAAAAGATGGTAACATTCCACAAATGAAACTTTCCCCTAGGGAAAAGTCTATACAAAAGATAGATTATTCCAGGTACCAAGGCACCTACGAGAAAACCATAGGGCAGAGGTCGGTATATGGCTTCTTTAAAAAGCCTTTTTGGTCCAATTAGTACGTACTGAATTGCCATAGTATTATAGCTGATTAAAGACTGACCTGTCCACTGGTGCAGTGGATCCTTTTTTTCTCCAGAGAGGTACGCTCGCTTAGTGTTTAACACCCATCGAAGACATCCGTAATTAACAGGTACACCTAAGAGCTCACCAAAAATCTGAGAAAAAAACACTGCTCTAGGTGGTACATGCATGTAGTGACCAATCCTTTGATCTTGAAGCATGTATTGTGCTCGGTACCATGCATCACCAGCTACGGCTCCATAGCTTGATGCACCAGCAGGATGCTTATAGCCCGAAACTGAATTTATCATATATCCATAAATGAGTTCGTTAAAAGTTCCAATCGCAAGTTGAAAGTTACTGAGCGCATATAGCCATGCCATTGGGGTTACAATAGTAGCACCAAATCCAAGGGCCACCAGGTATGTCCACCATGGAATAAACATGTTGCCTGTAGCAAAGATGGTTATCAAGATGACAAATGAAATAACAAACAAAACAACAAACCACCACAAGGGAACATCTTTATATGCCCTCTGGATTTTGTTGAGACGATCAGTATATTCATTGCTTATATTTCCACCGTTCCGTAAACGATGATAGAATTTTTTTCCAGATGAAATTATTTGTTTGTGCCCAAAAAAGATAATCCAAGTAATAGCCGAAATATATGAAGCATAGTCAAAAAACATTATCCAAATTTTTTGGGTTCCCATGTATCCAGGACCTAATTCCTGATATGCTGTTTCATTAAATGTAAAGTTTTCCGTCATCAGCCTTGTTGCCGGATATACAGTACCATTTTTCAAAAATAAACTGTTAGACATTAAGCCATGCTTGAAAGATCCCAGATTCCCCCACTTGGCAGCAGGAAGAAGGATCCAAGCACCAAGAACAAAAGCGCAAAATTTAAGTACTTGAGTCCAATAAGGCATAATCATAATACTAGAAGTAATGTTGCTCCAATCGAGGGTAAAATTAAGAAATCCCATCCCAGCCATGCCTGATCCAATGAAATTAGCAACCTTGTTCCTTGGAGCCACCCAGCACAGAAATGCCAATGATCCTGTCATGGGGAATATATATTCAGGAAAAAATTGCCAAATAGTCATCCCCACTAAGCCAATAAAGAACACTCTCATTTGCTTTGTAGCTAACTTTGAATTCCTGTCGCTTTTACGAAAAGCTTCAAATAGCGATGTTTGCATAAGAGCTTGAGGCCATTTATATTGGGGATCATATAGCAAAAAGTTTCTCGCAATAGCAGCAAATGAGTATCCCGTCCATACAATTGCCCACATGAAGAAAATTGCTACCGCGGGATGTACCTTATCATTATAAAACAATTCTGACACCGAAATACTTGTGGTACCCTGGCTCCCCGTAGCTCCCGATGCAGCAGAGAGAGTAACCAGGACGCATTCTTTAATGGAGAATGGACCAGGGTTTAAATTAAAACTGAATTTCCAGATCCGAACTGTCTTTGAGGGTAGAACTTTTGCGAGCCACTTTCCCAACCAGTAACTCGCTATCTGAACGAAAAATACACTGTACGCTGCCGAACTCGTTCGATAACTACTCATGGTATCAAGGAACGCGCCTGGAGGAATAAAAATTAAAGTCATCAAAAAGTAACGAAACGTTAATGTTGGTTCTGAAGGGTCGTCTTCTAGGCTCACTGTTTCCCGAACTTCTACTGGCAGTTCTTTTAGGTCATCTTCTAAAATTTCTTCTTTCTCCTCCTTCTCCCAAAAATCTTCTTCTTTTACGTCCGTTAAAGAAGAATATAGTTCTTTTTCATCTTTCTTTTCTGATCCATTCAGTTCTGATTCTGGAGGAAAAGATGAATCTGTTACCTCTAACTTTGATTCAGCTTTAAACATCTTCCTTCTGAAGACAATTTTCTACAAGCATTGTGCTTCCATTCTCTTACTTAAATACAAATTGATAGATGTGTTCATATGGCTGTTCAAGTTAGTAATCCAAGTTTGTTAATGAACTTTGCTAAATCTGTTACTTTATCGCGTCTTATTTCTCCAAATTGGGTGATTGTGGAAATCACGTGCAATTAGCATTTTCTTATCGATCCTATAACTGAGGGGTTAATTAGCTAACTGGTTTGATAACTCCTTCATTAGTCAAGCAGGGAAAGGACGACACTAAAAGATGCTCAGGAGGAATTTTAGCGAGTGAAAAAAAAAAATGGAAATGAGAGAAAAAGAAAAGACGGTAAGAAACAAGAAAATGATAGAGGAATGAATATAAAAAAAAAAAATTCTAGAGTAAAAATGATATTAAGCTGTTTTTTTTTTTTTTTCTTGTATATCATTTCATGGGTCTCGCATTTATTTATCTGCTTTTGATTGTCTTGATATTATCATCATCAACTCCGTCACATTTTGATCACAAAGACCTGATGTATCGTTGACTCTTCAGCTTTTAAATAAGGATAAAAGTGGAATATCGAAATGTATCAAAAATAGTATCGGTTGAGACATCCATTATTGACCTTTTTTTTTTCTTTCGTATTTTGTTTCTAATCTTCTTTTTTTATTTTTACTTTTTATTTTTTTCCTTGTAACAAATTACCATCGCTTACTCCGGCCTTTGCTTCAACTACGGAATGTCCAAAAGAAAATAATTCATTAATAAAATATTAGTATATAATTTACGGTTTTATAATAATACCCTCAAGGAAGGAGGATAAACTAAGGGAGGTATACCAAACAGGCTAGCCTTTATGGCTAATACTCAAGTAACGGAAATGTTACCACTATACTCGTTGTAGATAGTATTTTCCAGTATCCTTATAAGAGCTTTCTGTAATATCGCTCTTGCCTGTCCGCCCATAAAGGAAGCATTAGACATTGTTCAAAATCATTTGCTTAACTTCCATCCTTTCTGCTTATAGAGGGCAGCATTAAATCTCAACTTTATCTCTCGTAAATAAGAGTATCGATTCAGAAATAAATCATAGAAATTGTCGTAAAATCAAGGAGTCCTTATGACTAGTAGTTACATTGCAGCACGAACCAACTGAGGAATAGTCGTTGGTCTTTTACAAAAGTAACTCAAGTGTTCCATAGAGAGCAGCTGAAGGTTTTGTTCCACCGAGTTGCTTTGATCCGTCGACCTTCTGTATTCTGTAGAATCATTGGCTTTACACTGGTCACAGCAATACAAATGGTCATCGGTATCATTTCCACAGATAATGCAATAGTCAAAGTTCATAAAAAATGAAATAGAAAAAAATGCAAGGTACGATTGAAGTACAGTTACTGAAAGTTGCAACCGTTCAAATAGTTCAAGGAGGAGATTTTAAGAAAAGAAAAATTATCAGACGATTTCTTTCTTCTTTTTCCTTTCGTTCAAGTTAAATGTAGACTAGAAACTTTTTTTTTTGGATATCCTACAGCAGTAGGGTATAGCATATATATAAACTCCAAACAAAGTAGTAAATAAAGCGGCATATTACGCGATGGTATTGTTAGCACGCAAGCAATAAGGGAAATTTTGACAAATAAAGAACAGCCCCGGATATTTGTACATTTATTGCTAAAATTCGCTAATATTTACGCTATTGCTTAGTTAAGGAACAGATGAATGAGGATTAACCATTATGATTTATAAGGATTTGATTTAATTTTTCATAGACTTGCTATATTTCGATCAATGTTATTCATTTCTACGAAACACGTTTATTTATTTATTCATTTATTGTAATTTAACCTGTTTCTCACGTTTTTGTAGCTTTCAATGATTATGTCTAACTTTCGTTGGCCAAATTTGAGGTAAAAAAAAAAATTTTGCTAGAATTGAGTAATTTTGCCAATTTGCTTACATTCTCCTTTATAACGCACTTTTTATTTAAGTAGCTACCGGATTACTTGCTACCAAAATTTGATGGGGCTTTTTTATTTTTTCTTTTTTTTTTTCTTTTTTTTTGGCGGTAGCTAGCTTTTTAAAACATGTACGAGACCAACGATATAAAAAAAGGTGGTTGAACTAAAATACTGTAATTTTATTCTCAAAAAATAAAAGTGTTTTCAGACACCTTGGAAATAGCTATCAGCAGAATAGTAAGTATATCAAACTCCAATGGTGAACCAGCCAACAGTATACTCATAAATACGAATTCCATTTATCAATTATATACTACTCGTCAAGTATTTATTCAGTGATAGTTATTAAGAACTTTAAGAAAACATGGTATGGAGTATACTAGAACAATACAGGCTATTAAACAAAGATTACAATGTGTTTAAACATAAAAACGTATCGAATTATATCTAATCATTTTTAAGTGTCTTATAAGTACCCACATTTATCGATTGAAAAACTTGTTTTGATGTGACACTGTGCTAATCATATTAATCTACTCATCGATCTATTCCACCAACCTTACAAGCTCGTTCCTTTTATTAAACTTATTCATAAAAAAATCGAGCATAGACAGTAAATAAAAATATAGAAAATGTCTAGTGAATATTATACAATTTGTGAAACCTATGTTTTTATCTCATATTTATTATATAACAAGAAACTTTAAAAGTCTCTCCTATCTGAGCAACAACATGACCATCTTCCAAGATAGCATAAATCCAGTCATATGTAAATAAAAAGAGTTGACACTTTAAAATAAATGCAACTAGGAAAACCAGGGCTGATTAGCAATATATGAATACATCGAAACCATGAGACATTAGCATAAAAATCATATAAAAGAAAATGAATCATAAGATTCGTAATAAAACTTAAAGTCCAACATAGATTAAACAGTTCATGAAGAAAAGGTGGGTTACGCGAGGGGGATATCAAATTTAGAATTTGGGTGTCGTCAAGTTTTTATTTACGCTAGTCATGCCTGGAGTGCGAACAGGACGAATTAAATCTTTGAACCATTTTGTTTCAAGTTCCAATTCATAGATTCTTTTCTCCAATTGCTTGATTTTCTTTTCGTATTCCTCAACTTTCTGTTCGAGGTAATTCTCTTTAGCCTTTCTTCTTTGACGAAACCTAGCACTAGCTAACGTATTTCTTCTTCGGCGTTCTTGATCTTCCGCAACGCTGACTACCGAATCGAAAGGACTTGTCGCTGTTCTCTGATTAGGGGAGGAGCTAGTTTGTCGAGTGGATGACTCAGTGTTAGAAGTATTCCAAACTTTTTGGAGTTTATTACCTTTCTCATCAACGGTGTGTAAATCATCATTAAAACGAACTTCGTTACCATTTCTTTCGTAGGCTAACTTTAATCCATCATCACGAGTAGAATTTATGTATTGTAATGCTACAGAATTACTTGACTGTATAAAATCCCCATATGAGCTTTTACTTCTTGGTGGCACCGGTTCATCTTGAGAAATATACTCATTGGAATTATGAATTGCTGTAGACTTTGGTAGAGCAGGATCTGATTCCATAGTGCATGAATGATTGTATTTCACGATACTATTTTTTATAAATTTGTTAATCTCTTGGGAAAAGAAAGAATTAAAAGTACCAACTTTGACATTTCATTGTCAAATTCACAATATCGGATTCATTAAAGTTTAAATTAGGATTTTGAAATAGCAGCATAGCCTAGCCTTTCCTCATTGCCATCTACTTCTATCTCATTTTACGTGATCTTTATCCAAAATGAGTCTTATTTGTATACTACTGACGAGAATAATAGGTAAATTTGCACTACTAAGCAAGCTTACATATTTGCACAACGCCAACTGAAATCACGCAAATGGCTTCTTTGATATATATAGCATTACCATTTGTTGATAATTTTATTTGCTATTGTATGATATCACATTTTAATTAAAGTTATATAATACAAACAGAGTTTATTAACGTTGTTGTAGAATAACGACAAATCAATTTTTTTTCATCCATTACAATTCCGTGCATTTCGTAGAATAAATACTGCATGCAACTGAAAATATTTTGAAATACTAGAAATTCTTTCCATTCCAAACGAATAAAAGAAATATTCAACTGAAAATAGTGTCGGCTTTCTGTAGTTTAGTAAGTCTTATTTAAATTAAATTTCAGTCAAAGGAATCTTTTTTATTTTTTATTTTCCAATGCACGATGAGCAACCAAAGTTTATCAGGAGTTCGAGTTTTCATTGTGTACAAACAACTGGAAAGACAACTTGCTAGGATCGTTGCTCCATAAAAGTGTCAACAGGCTAGAACATGTAAATTTATTGATGAAGAATTGATAACAACGCCTTATTACGTTCGTTAAATTACAGTTGAATTTCTATTGGTCTAGCGAACAAGGTAAGGTAATCTTTCAACCACTTAGGTTTGACATTTAATAATTTACGCGTTTTAGCTTTTGAGTTTTCGTAACCACAGGCACCCGTTACGTGATTCAGAAGAATTTGTCGCAAAATCAATAATTTCACAGAGATCTCACATCATGATAGACTATCACTAATATCTGACAAATTGAATAAAAAAGGCACTTGAAAAATATAGAGAACCAGTACTCACCGTGTTTTCTCGTGTCTTTAACAGACATGCAATCCGCCACGAAATGGGATGAAAAGGAAGCTGACGCCGAAAAAACAGTTCCAACTGTGGAACGCCGTGTATCTACCAGTACACAATCAAGTGAACCTGGAGTAGAAGCCGACTATGGAGCAGATTCGGGATTGAAGAGAAAGTTGAGCTCCCGACATTTGTATATGATATCGCTTGGCACTGCCATCGGCACAGCTCTTTGGTTAGGTTCAGGGTCGAATCTTACTACTGCCGGACCAGTTGGAATGTGGATTGGATTTTGGATTGCTGCATCGATTGCTTGGGCTTTAATGCAGTCTGTGGGAGAGCTTACTGTAATGTATCCTGTACCATCGGCTTTTCCACGGTGGAGTCAAAATTTGGTTGATCACTCAATAGGTATTTCCCATGGATGGGCGTTTTGGTTATTGTATACTTTGGGAATTCCAACGGAACTTGCCGGTCTTGTTACTGTGATGCAATTTTGGACGGACAAGGTTCCACCGGCTGCTTGGATTTCTATTTTTCTTTTCATTCTAGTTTTATTAAACGCCTTTCCAGTAAGAGTCTATGCTGAATCAGAAAGTATAATGTCGTTTATCAAGTTCGCGTGGATTTTTGTCATCATTATAGCCTCAATTGTTGTCTCTGCCGGTGGAGGACCCAAAGGTCATAGTATTGGATTTCGGTATTGGCGGGAAGCTCCCTTCACACATGGCTTTAAGGGTTTCCTCAGCGTCATGCCGAATGCTGTATTTTCCATGTCTGGAATTGAATTGGTAGGTATTGCTGCCGCGGAGGCAAAAAATCCAAAAAAATCAGTTCCCAAGTCGGTTGGCTCAATTTGGCTTCGTCTAGGATTGTTTTATATAATTGGTATATTAATGGTAACCATTATCATATCACCTTATTCACCAGATATATTTGGTGGAAAGGGTGCAAATGCCTCTCCATTTGTCATAGCATTTCGAAACGCTGGTATCCCTGGATTAAGTCATGCTATGAATGCCATCATTTTAATTTCCGTTTTCTCTGCCGCTAATTCTGAAGTTTATACGGCTCCAAGGATCCTTGTCGGTCTTGCTGAAGCGAAAATGGCACCAAAGTGGTTTTTACGTTGCGATCGACAAGGCCGACCACTCTATGGCTTTTTCTTCACAATTTTAATTTCTGGTGGTTTGGCCTACTTGAATGTTAATCAAACTGGATCGACTGTATTTCAATGGTTTGAAAGTTTGGTATCTCTTTGCGTGTTGTATTCGTGGGGCTGTATATTTTTAGCTCACCTACGATTTCGGAAAGCGTGGAAGGTCCAAGGGTATTCAGCAGATCAGCTTCCATGGAAATCCAGATTTTTCCCTCTTAGCGCTATATGGGGAATTTCTTGGTGTATTTTGATTTGTATAATTGAGTTTTACCTCGCTGTCTGGCCGCTCGGGCAACCAAGCAGCGCGAAGCAGTTTTTTGCTACTTATTTGTCCATCGTTCTTATTATAATCATTTATGTGGGAGCGAAGATTTATTATCGAGGACCTTTTTGGAAAAAGCCTTCATTAGTAAATCTAAATTACGGCAGAAGGTTCTACACCAACCGGCGAGCAAGTAGTGATAAAGAAGAAGATGAGCTATATGTTTTCTTTAAGTCAACATTGGAAAAAATAATTCCGAAAAAAAGCTGACCAACCACTTAAAGTAAACAAGAAAATAAAGAAGAGCGGTTGACGTTGCAAGCAGACCCTAACGGTTTGCTTTTTTTTCTCTTGCTTTTTGTGTTAAATGTGTTTATGTAATATGTAATTAGGTTATTAATTAATATGAATTGACTCTTTTCTTCGTAAACTATTTTATTTATTTTTATGTTAGTGTCCCGATAAAAATCTCGTACTGTATAATAATCTATATCAAGTGAAATAAACAAATATGTTATAATGCTGTATATTTGGACTGGAGCTGTTGTACTAATATAGACGCTCGTAATGTCCAGGATCTGGTAAACTAAATGAAAGTTTGTGTAGATGATGCTCATTATCCACACTAGTCGAATCTTCCAATCTGAAGATTCTGACTTAGACAAACAGCTTATATAGGTCTTTTGATATAGATTACGCAATCTGTTTTATTTGTCAAACTCCTGGTGGTCATCATAATTTCTATATCTCATATCGATATTCCGTATTCATGATTGAAATACGGTGTTTTTGTTAATGGTAATCATCTTTTGTTCTCTCATCACAGACTATTTTCTTTTTCTTGATTTCTTGATTCTGATGGGTTTATTTCTCGTGAACCGTTAATCTCATAGGTTGCATGTCAATTGGCAGATTCAGTTTTTACTGTTCCAATCGAAACTCTTTTTCGTAGCGTAAAGTGCAGGGGAAAAAGCAGCATATAGACTTTTTAAAACTTTTAAATTAATTCTTCAAATGAAAAGTAACAGATTCATGATTTTGCAGTTTCAACAGAATCCTTGGTTATCGTGTTACTTTTGGACAAACTCACCATCATAAACTGAAATTTCACCTTGCGGCCAAAGCTTATAGAAAATAATATGTTGTATTGATATTTTAAACAACTTTAATCAAAAAGGAGGAAGCAGAGATGACTGTAAATACTCACCAAAAACAACAGGAAAGTTAGTAGCTAATAACGGCCAGGCTAGCTAACTATCCCGAGTTTCTACGGAAACAAATTAAGCATGTCTTTGAATAAAATATAAAAATTATCTGCTCGTAAGACATCTCAATCTCAATCTCAATTTCAACTGGACACTGACACGCTGACAATAACAACCATTCAATAAAATGGGCATAGCATAAAAACATTACTTTGTATGATCGTTCAAACTCGGAGAACCTGTGTCTCCAAAAGTTTGCATCTCTATTTCTTGCTCTCTTGCAGAATGCCCAACAGACTTTTTTGAACGGTTTGCTTTGGTAGGGCTTTTCCCAAGAGGAGAACTTGGCACTTCAACATTGTTATGTGTAGTTGTTGGAGTTTCAACACTAGCTTCTAGCTCGTCAAGTTCAACGGTATTTGTTGAATCTGAATCAATCCCAAAGCTTTGATTAGTTGTATAACCGAAAATAATTGTCAAAGGCAGTATAAATTTTCTCCACAAGTATGGAAATGTTCTTCCTAAGAAATTCTCAAAGAAATATTCAATGAGATTCCCCACATGCTTAAAGTTATTCCCTAGTACTATAGCCAAATCTGGAACCATAGATATACACCAAACGATGATGTCCAACACAACTAAACGCTCAAGTTAGCAAGAAATTTAACGTACTTCAATTTGCTTTTCCGATGAATGTAAATCACTTACGAGAAATTATTACAGCGGAAATAAAAAATAAAACTAAAATCAATCCACCAAGCAAAGGTAAAGCAATTTCCTTAGACAAAGATGAATCCTTTATAAACTCTGACAATTTATCAGAATATTTGAAAAGTAAATAGAAAATAAAAGCAGACGTATAAAGATAACACATAAAACATCGAAAATATCCTGCTTCTTTCAATGTGCCCGCTGGTGCTAATCGGGGACGTACCGGCATGCAGATGCAATCGAGGATACAGCTTCCCCATGATCTGTCTGGCACGGGTTCTGCCATGCGTTCACGCACTTCATTCGCATGATTTTGATTACTATCGGATTCGACTCTGCTACTCATTTGAAGTTGATTGTAGGAAGGAGGGAAGCGTGTAAACAAACCCTTTTCCAAGTCCTCTCCACTGTTATAACAAACTTCTGAGTAATTTGGCAAATCCAATTGAAGCGAGCTTTTCCTCGAATTGTCGTATT